AGTAGTGTGTGTGTGTGTGTGTGTGTGTGTGTGTGTGTGTGTGTGTATCGATGGGGAGAGCTGTGTCAGGGGCCAGGCCAGGCTGGGCACAGGGAACTTAGAGCACCTTCTCCAGAGAGGGGGTCTGCAGTGGGAGCAGTGGTACAGCGGAGGGAGTGAAATTACCCAGAAGGGGAGGTTCTCAGAAACACACCCATCTGGGGTGACTGGCCAGGAGTGACCTTGCTGTGAGTCGCGCAGCGCTGACAGCACCTGCTCAGCCTCCAGGTGCAGGGAGGGCGGGCAGATCTCTGGGCCCTGGATAAGCTATGCCCATTCCGGCTCCCACTGGCCAGGTTAATATTACTGTGGGGTCAGAGGGACAGGGGAGAGTAGTCCGCCCTCTGCCTGGGGTGGGAGAGGCCAAGGCTCCCCTAATCTCTTGCAAAGAGCTAGGACTTCCTGGTTCTGCTGCCACCTTACTCACTGAATGTTGCCTTGAGGGCAGGGACGGGGTGGAGGTTAGGGGGTGTAGCTGGGGAGGAGGAGGGGCAGTTCAGACCTCTGAGAGCCCTCAGCTGGCAAGGGGGAGGGGGTGGGGTGCGGCTTAGCGCTTAGATCCCCCGCAGGCTGCAGGCTGCGTGGGAACCAAAGAGAACAGGTTCGTGTCCACACACCCCCTGCTGACACAAGCTGCCTGCTGTTGCCATAGTGATAGTAATGCCACCCCCCCCTCGGCTGTGTGGCCACCAGTGAAGGGACGGGGGTGCTTATTCTTGGTCACGAAGGGGAAGAGGGAGGGGGAGGCTCCCGTGGAGGGCGAGCAGTCCTTCCCTGCCCCCAGCTGGGGGTGTCCCGGGAGTCTGAGGGTATGGGAGTGGGAGAAGGCTTAGAGGTCCCCTCCGACCCGCTCCCCCTCCGGAGACCAGCAGCAAGCAAGTGCCCTCCTGGCTCCACATCGTCCATGGGACGCTCATCACCTCCGGACCAGAAGCTTCTTAGACAGGTGGTCCCCACACCAATTGACCTGGCCTGGCCCCAGGACTCCTCTTCACCCAGCAAGGCCAGTTCTTGGCCTCTTCCCCTCGTTTCACTCTCCTCCCAAACTCCAGCCCTGCCCTGGGTGGTGAGGTCCCAGGTCCTGCGGCCCCATTACCCCTGGCTCCCGGGCTTGGCTTGGCTTGAGACAAGTCCATGCGGCCCTTATATCTTTCTCCCCTGGTTTTCTGGACCTTCCTCTCTGCACCTGCAGCCTCCTAGTCTCCTGATCTCCTTGAGCCCCAGAAAGGGAAAAACCATTAGAAACACAATCTTGGAGCGGTGGGGCTGCCTTCACTGACAGCCACTAAGTACAAGGGCCAAATGCCCTTGGATTCACCTGTGACCCATCAGCTCCTGGAGACAGCAGCGAGCTCCTCTAACTGCCCCCTGCCCCTCACCCCTGCAGCCCCTGTACCGCAGCCCCCCACCCCCACACACTCGGCCTCTCCTTGCTCCCCTCCCCTCCCCCTCTCCTCCTCTCCCCCTTCCTCACCTTCCTCCTCCCTCCCCTCCCCCCTTCCTCCTCTCCCCTCTACCATCCTCTCTCCTCTCTCAGCTGCTCTCTCTTGCTTTCTCCCTCCCTCCCTCCACTCCTCGCTGGCCTCCCTGCGCGTCCTCTGACAGGCCCACTCCCCTCCATGCATGAACACTCGCTGGCCTCCTGATGGCCTCCCTTCCTGGCTTCCTTCAAGTCTTCAAGCTGCACCTGCCTTCCCTGACCACCTTCCCTTCCTGCTTTAGCTTTCTCCGTGGCTCTCACCACCTTCTGCCTTCTGACATTGAACAACGTGACACCGTATAATGTGTCTGTTTTATTTATAGTGTCTCCCGTGAGACTGTGAACTCCAGGAGGACAGGCATTTTTGTCTGTCTTATCCCCAGTGCCTAGAACATAGATGCTCAAGAAATCCCTTGAGGCAAATAAATGGTCCCCCATCACCCACCCCACCTAGGCTACACCCTCACAGGACCCACACCCTCCACTCATCGTCCTCACGCAGAGCAGAAAGCGCTGGCTGGTCTCAGGTGGCTCGGCCATGGCCTCTCCGTGTGGCCTCTGTCCAGCCTCTTCTCCTTTCTGGGCCTCAGCTTCCCTCCCCCGTTTTATAATGGAGAGGATGGCCTGGAACTTCTCCAGCTTTCACTGTGTTGGAGCTTTGAGGTCCCTTCTGAATCTTCCCAAGTCAGGGGTCAACAGGGAATTCACAAGGGTTGGAGGGGGGCCTGGTGGTCCCTGCTCAGAAGAAATCTCCAGGCCCTACGGCCCCTACCCTGGCACCGACCGGGTGGGTTGAGGGGAACAGCAGCAGTAGCAGCGGGAACTATAAACAGACTTGAGGAAGATTTCTCCAAAAATATATCCATATTTTAATCACCATCCAAGTCCAACCTGGGAAGCCTGAGGAACACAAGCCAAAGATCACTTAAGGGCCGAGACCAGAGGTCAAGTGTCCAGAAGTGAGCCATCATCGGAGGAAGCCCGCCGTCAGGCAGGTGAGCGTGGGGGCCAGCAGGGCGGGCAGCGACCAGGGCAGCAGCCGCCCGGGGGCCTGGGACCGGTAAACCACGCGCTGCCCCCGGGGCTGCAGGGGCCTGATGTTGTCGGTCATTTTCTGATTGTCGTCATAGTACAGGTTGTTGGAGAATGCAAGGATCTGTGGAAGGCACAGGGCTCAAGTGGATATGCACTCCCTGCTGTGTGACGTCAGGCCAGTCACTTTGCCTCTCTGAGCCCCCTGGGGTTTTTGTGCAGAGGAAAAGGATACGGGATGCAAAGTGCTTCAGTGTGGGCTTAGCTCCCGTTAGCTTCCCTTAGCCAAGTGGACTCAAACCTCACGGTTTTGAGGGTCTACCATTACTATCACCATCATCACTATTACCAGAGAACAGTGGTTCTCAGACTTGAGTCTGCATTAGCCTCACCTTCCGTGCTTGTCTGGCCTTGGATTGCCGGGCCCACCCGCAAGGGATCGTTTCTGGGAAGCCAGGCAGTGGGAGGCTGCAACCCCTGCCTGGACCTCTGTACCTGGTCCTTGTCGAGCTGGATGGGCTCCTGGAACACCGTCCAGACCACCGTCTCGTCACAGCCGGGCGTGGTGAGCGAGCCCAGGTAGCGGAAGTACCGCCTCAGTTTCTCCTGTTTGGGGAGCAGCTCTAGGAGGCTGATGCTGTTTCTCATCGTGGTGTTGGTATCTGGCGGGACAGCAGTTACTCCCTCACACCTCACTCTCAGAGTCCAAGCCACCGCACCATCCGGACTGTCCTTTGTTGAAAGAAGTCTCCTCCCCTCGCCTCGACCCCTGCCTCCCCCGCCTCACCATCCTGACTCACTGGGTCTGGAGATGTTGGACAGTACGTCCACCAGGGGTTGGAAGTTCTCATTCCTGGCTCCAGCCTGGAAAGGGAGGGAAGGGGGCTTAAGAGAGGCTTGTGGGCAGCCGGTGGTGACCACCAGTTCATTCTGGTCTGGGTTGGGGCAGGCGGGCAGCTTCTGGGACTGAGCCCCTGAGAGACTCTGGGCACCCTGCCTGGGAGTGTACAAGCCACAGAAACAGAGGGCAAGGTGGGGCCTCCCCAGCGCCCTTCTGCCTTCCTGAGACCCCAGGTCTCTGGATTCTGAGAAGCAGCCCCTTGGGCCCTGGGAGATGGTGGCTCACCTCCACCATGAAGGCCAGCACTGCAATCTCATCTTTGGAGTCCTGGGCTTTTGCATTCCTTGATGTCCCCGTCTCCTTCTCATGCACTATGTGCATCTGTTGGGGTCGGGGGAGAACCTGTGAGGGTGCTGGACCACCCTTCTCACCCAAGGCAGGCATACCCAGAGCCCAGCCAAGGCACGGACCTGGGAAGAGGTCCCTCACCTCCATGGCAAACCGATCCCCATCCAAGCTGTGCTCTGAGCCCCAGTCCAGCACCTCGGACCAGTGCAGGTGCAGCTGCTTCGCCCGGTACCGGGCGGCCAGTCCTCCTTCAGCAATTGTGGCCTCGTCCCCCAGCAACACCATCACTGGAGGGCACAGGAGGGGGCAGTCCTTGCACCGCCTCTCCTAGCCTCTCCCAGCCTCCTCATCCCAGTTCCACCCAGGCAGAACCTCCTCTCCCCTGTCCCACATATCATGGGCTACTGGCCTGGGCCTAGAGCAACAGACTGAGTGGGACAGCCCGGGACCGCCCCTTGACCTCCTCTCTGGTCTCCCCGCCTGCCTCTTCCTCTACACACCCCCACTGCCCAAATGTGCAGTGCATCCTGGCCCCGCCCCTGCTCCCACCCTCTCCGTACATAGATGGTGCCCCAGTGATCTCAGGGCCATGTCCAAACTCCTCAGCCCTGGGCGGACTGCCACGAGCCCAGCTCACCTGACCTGGGCTGGCTCCGGGCCCTTCTGGCTTTGCTCTGTCCTCTGTGCCCACGGGGCCACGTGCAGCCCTCTGAACACCCTAAGCTGTTTCATGCCTCCCCGTCTTTGCACATGTTGTTCCTTCTTCCTTCAACATGTCCCCTCCCCCATCCCCAGACTGGTCTGATTCAAGACTGAAAATACTGTGACAGCCTGCTTCCTCCTCCCCTCCCCTCAAGGCTTTTCAGCCTCTCCTTGGCAAAGGTGGACCAGGGCCAGTACATCTTCCCAGGAGGAACCCAACCCTCCAGTCCTCCAGAAACTCCGGGGTCCCAGGACCAGGTACCCCTGCCACCTGGGGTCTCCATCCCACCCACGTGAGACCTACCTGTGTGCCCATTGTTTTGGACAGTCCACTTTTGCTTCTTGTCATAGCCAGAGAAGGAGAAGGGCCTCAGGTTTAGGTCCACCTCCGTCTTGGCAGTGGCGATGTTGATAGGGGACTGGTGGTCCATCTGACAGCTATCGCCCCACAGGTCTGGCCCTGAGCAGGGAGGGAGTGGGCGCTGGGAGTCAGGGGCTCCTGGCAGTAGGGCGTGGCGTTCTCTGCCCCACTCAGATCAGGCCGTCTTCGGAAAGCTGGCAGGCTGGGCTGCGGGATGCCCGCGCAGAACTCTGCCCTCACCCTCCCTGGGCCTTCCTCTTCAGACACACATGCTCACCTGGGCAACTGTTCTTTGGACTTTTTCAAACACTACCCACCCCCCACCCCCGTCCCGTCACCTACCCACCCCTCTACCCTCACTCCCAGGCCCCATCCACCTGGTGTTGGAGGTCCCTGGGGTGCAGGGAGCCAGGCTCCCCAGGGAATGATTCCCTGCCTCCTAGCCCTCAGATAATTCTTAGTGTCCCATCCTGAGGTCCTTTAAAAGGCTGTCACCAGAGTTCTTTCACAGCCGAGCATCTGAGGTGGTCGCCCATCCCAGAGCTCACAACCTGTTCCCTGACAGTCCTGCCCCGAGCCTGGCTGTGTGTGTGTGTGTGTGTGTGTGTCTGGAATAGGACCAGCTCTTGATTTCATTATGAGAGAGAGCAAAATGCATTTCTCCCTTTGCTGCTGCTGCTGCTGATTTATTTTACAGCCCTTGTGATGACAGAGATGATGACAGGAGGTACCAGTAAAGACTCACAGTCACTCCATGTTCCCTGTTCCGTGAGCATCAGGAGTGGGTGAGTATGTGTGCGTGCACGTGTGTGTGAGGAGATGATATCTGACTCGGGGCCACAGCACCCCTCCTCCTTCCCACCCTTGTGGGTCTCCATTTCAACCTGGACGGGCCCTGCCGCACAGAAGGACCTGTCCCCAGGACTGGCTGTACTTACCCAGGCAGGTGCAGTTGGAAGGCTTGACTTGATTCTGGTAGCACCAGTGTGATTCTGGAGCAGAGAGAGAAAGCGCATGAGGCCTGTGCATTTGTGTGTCAGTGTTTCTGGGTACACACACGTCTCTAAGAGTGCGGGTGAACTGTGTGCACACAAGCAACTGTGTGTGGGGGGGGGCGGGTATCCAGTGTGACAGAGGCTGGAAACATCGCAGTGCACCTTGGGATGGGGTGGAGCGTTCCTGGGGGTCAGAGACAGAGATCCCAGGGTAAGGAGGCTTAAGAGGAAAATGGAGGGATGGAGAAGGAGGTGGTCAAAGTAGCCTGGCCTCAGGTGTCCTTGACCCACAGCTGACCTACTGGTCCTCTTGCCCAGGGCATGGTCCTCATACACACGTGGCCAAAGCAGCCAGCAGCCCTTGAGGGGCCCTCCAAGGCCGGTCAGCTCTACCCAGGGGCTACCCTGGACACTCTCCATCTGCTGCTCATCAGCCCCCCTCCCTCCTTGCATCCCCCACCTCAAACCTGGAAGGGAGGCTGTGGTCAGAGAGGAATAGGAGAGGGATCAGGGCCCCCAGGCTCCCCTCCTAGGACAGTACAGCCATGTTCAGCCTGGCTGCCTTCCCAGAGTTGATGGGATGATGGGGGAGGTTCAGCCAACCCCTCCCTGGAACACACCCTCTTATGTTACTAAAACCCATTCTTGGCTAAACTTTCACAGTCCTGCAGGGAGGAAGGCAGCAGGCCTTCCCCCAGCCCCACCTCGAAGTCCTGGTGTTGGGGGCCAGACAGACTCAGGGCTCTAATCTCCGCTCTGCCTAAGGACAGCAGAACCAGCATCTCTGATAAAAGGCTGCACCACGGACAGACCGCACTAATGCGAAATGTTAATAGCAGGGCAGACTGTGCACTAGGGAACCCTCTCCTCTGGGCTTTCTGCTCGAGTTTTCAGTAAACCTGAAACTGCTCTAAAATTAGTCTATTGATTTAAAAGAAGACTGTGCCAGCAGGGTGGACAAAATGTTTGATCTGAGCCGGAATTCTAGCTGGGCCACTTGGGAGCTGTGCATTTAGAGGCAAGTCACTTAATCTCTCTGGGCCTCAGTTTTGCCATCTGTAAAGCAGAACTAGTACCACCCACCACATAGGACTGTGGTGAGGAGTAAATGAGAGATGGTAGAGAGTGTTCCAGGCAGCCTGGAATTTAGTCAAATCCCTGACAAATCCTTCCCTTCCCCTTGCGTCCCTCTCCCCCTCCCTCCCTCCCTCCATCCTTCCAACCTCCTGTCAGGGCGCAGATGGCCAAAGTCGGGGTGGGGGGTTGCAGAGAGAAGACAAACGAAGTGAGCTGGAAAGAACTCAGGGATGAGGAAATTGCTAAGAAAAGCACGGCTTCCAGCTCAGCCTCATCTAGCCTCTGAGCACATCCATCCCCACCCAACCCCACCTCCTCTGGGGTCCCTGCAATGGGGATGGGTGGGGAGGGGGTGGGAGGAAGGCCCGGAGGGAGGGTGAGCACCTACAGGAAACGGGCCACCCCTATGGTCTGGGTCTGAACCCCTCAGAGTCACCTTGGGTTTGGAGGTTCCCCAGCTCTGGATCAAAGACTCTGTATCAAAGACTACTAGCCAGCACCGGTCTCTTTCAGAGATGTTTGGTCCCTGCCCCACACCAGTCCATCCCCTGCCTGGGGACAGGGCTCTGCTGCCCCTGGGAGTTGCTGCATCTGGGGAAGCCCTATGAAGGTCGACTCCGCAAAGGGCATCAGCCCCGCTCTGCACGTGAGCAGAGCTCTGACACTGGAGCCCGCTCACTGGGCCTCCAGTCCTGGCTCAGACTCTTACTTAACCCATGCAGGAGAGTTCATTAACTTTTCTGAGCCCACATTCTGCATTAGGCAGAAGGAGCTGTCACCGAACTCCCAGGGCCACGGTGGAGGAGGCACAGGATAGGAGGTCATTTGCATCTGTGAAAGGCTCCTGTGTCTTCACCTCTCAGAGGTCCTGCAGGCAGAAGGGGCCTCTGAGGTTGAGCTGGCTCCTCCTCTGGACTGAGGTCCAAGGGAAGCCATTCTAGCCGAAGCCTTGTTTGAGCCAGAATCCTCAGGAGCCAGCTGGGACGGGTGGAACCCCCTCAGCCTCCCAGGAGCCCGTCTGGTCCAGGTTGAGGTTTTCCTAGGAACTGGCTCTTCCCTGCCTCTGACTTTGGCTCCTAGGTTTGTAATAGTGACCTCTGCTCCACTGTCTTAATCACAGAGACTTTCTATCTGCTTGGTTGATTGCTCTTGTAACTACACTCTTCAGGAAACAGAAGCCAGGAAAACATGATGTTGATGAGATCAAGGCAAGGAACTGGGTCTATGTCCAAAGGCTGAAGGTAAGGGCTGATATTTAGGCAAGAGGTGGCAGGGCTCGGGTTCCTGTACCAGTTCATGAGAAGGCAACCCTTGCAGATAATTACCAGCCAGCTGTCCTGAGTCATTTCCAAGAGGAACTGGGAGGGAGAGGAGCTACCCGTAGGTCTTGGCTCCAAGCTCTGAGTTTTACCTCGTCTGTCTGCCCTGATCAGGGATGGCATGAGAGAAATAGCAACCATTGCCAATCACCTGGCCGTGGTCCCCCACCCTTGACTTGCCCATCACCCTAGCCCCCTTCTTTAGAGATGCCTGAAGAAATTCCCTCTGTGGACCTTGCTCACCCCACCCTCCACTCCAGGGGAAGGGAGGAATCTTGGAAACCAGCTCAGCGAAACCCAAATATGCCCTGGGCAAAGTCTCAGCAGCTCCTGGCCAGGTCTGGGACTCTGAAGGAGCCTCCGACCTTCTCCCCTCCTCCTCTCCCTGGGGATGCTCTGGGGACTTCAAGGTGCAGCCTGGTCACTCTCCAGCCTCAGTTTCCCTAGGGGAGGAAATGAGGGGAGGAAGGCAGGACTTTGGGCAGCTCCCAGGCAGGAAGCCTCAGGGGGCGGCTGAGACAGATTCCTGGCTGGCTGGGCTGATGCCAGTGGTACAGCTGTCATAGCCGTGCAACATGCCGCACATATACCACACCAAGCACTTACATCCACTGTCTTATCTGAATTCTTAGAAGGACACCTGAAGTTAGAATTACTTTCTGTTTTGTAAGTGATGAAACCGAGGTTGGCTTACCCAAGCCAACACAGCTACAAAGCAGCCAAATTAATTACAAAGCCTTTTCTCTTTCTGTCAGCCCAGCTGCTTAAGTAGGTTTCAAACCTCCAACCCTACAAATAAAATGTTTACATCCTGCGTTTTCTCCTTCTTCCTCTCCTAGGAAGAGGCTAGGAGTTTTTGCAAGATGCCCCCTCAGACCTCACAAGGGGCCAGTCAAGTCCCTCCTGCAAAGCGGCTCACAACTCCCTCCTTCTCTGCACCCTCACCCTTAACGCCTTGACTCCAAGGGAGGAACTGCTAGGTTTAGACAGGAGGTTTGGCCAGGTGGCCCCCAAGCACCATCCAAGGGGTAGCTGAGCTGGGGACTGGCAGGTAGGGGCCTCCTTCGAAGGCGATGGTTCCCTGTGGGGTCCTAGAAGGTGTCGGATCAGGTCCCTGTGTGCAGACTCCAGAGGCGCCTTTAGCTCCTTATCAAATATTAACACCCCTCTCCTGCCACCTCCCATCTAGGCGAATAATTAAGAGCTCGGCCTCACCATTAATCTTTAAACAAAAATCACCCTGGCCGGAAAGACTGGCTGGGCCGGGACCACGGGTCTCCAGAGGCCCCCCGCCAGGCTCCCAACGCAGTGCGGTGTCTCCGGAGGTGAAGGGCTCTGGCAGCCTCCGGGGAGAAAGGAACCCAGGGCGGGAAGCAGGGATGCCAGGGGAAGCGGGGATGCTAGGGCCCCACCGCGCCCAATTTGTTGTCCTTGCTCTGGGCCGGGGGCAGTCACCCAGCACTGAGCCCCCGTAAGATGGACAGCGACCCGCGACAGACCGAGGAGCACCAGAAAGGGCGCGACACTCCAAAAAGGGTGAGAAACGGAGGGGTGCGTGGAGGCGGCTCAGAGAAGCATCCTCGCCAGGGACCCGCACT